TTTGTTTGTCTGTTTGGCTGTGGAGGTTGGAAGTTTGGAAGTTTGGGACTTTTGAAGAGAGATGGGATGGGGGAGGTAGGAGGGGGAAGAGACCTGGTCTGAAGGCCCAAGTCTACCGGTACCTACAGCGATAGAGAGAGAGCGCCGGTGGTCTCGAAATCCTCACCACGTACTCCGTTCAGTAAATAGGTACGGCTACTGTTCTCCCGAGCTCACATCTCGGGTTGGGGAGCAGGCGGAAGGAAGCATATCCCTATCAACCAACGCATCGCAAGTCGTCTGTCTCATCTTTGCAACTCCGGAAGCTAAGGCAGAGAGAGAGGAGGTTTCCGGGATGAGCTCGAGGTTGGCGAGAGGGGGTCGTGGTGACAGGAGGTGTGTATGGATTCTGTTTCCTCTCGGAGTCGCCCAGAGTAAAGTACATAGAAAAGAAGCTACACAGCAAGAAACCACGATGACGCGCGCCCGAAATCGGACTTTGTAGCCTCAGACGGGCGTCTAGGTAGTACAGTAAGTTCGGTAGGTAGATCGGGCACGGGGAGCACGAGATCCTTCGAGCCGGTGAGACGTGAGAGTGGAAAACCTGGACATCGGTTCCTCGATGCTGAGATTGAATACGGTACTGCTACTACGTGCTGCGTAGATGCGATTTGTTTCTTCTCTTTCCGTCGCGGAACTCTCTCGGGTTTGGCTGCGAGGGTTCTGTTGCGTTCGCGATGCTGAGGATGTCGGTCGTCTGGGGCTTTAGCTTCAGCTGATGTTTGCTCTGGCTTTTGTTTCGTAGCTTTGGGTTTTATACATGCTACGGTTTGGATTGCTGGAGTATTTTAGATAAAGAGACCTACCTATTTAACCGCCTGGGTCGCACTTCGTTCGCCCTGACCCCCACACGTGGGTGGGGGGCCAGGTTTGTTTGGTTTTTTGGGGGTTTTTTTTTTGGTTTTTGAAGTGTCTGATGGCCTGAGGCATTTGAGGCACTTCGGCTATGGTGTTACTTAACACCAAGGTACACCAGGTGATTACCTTAAAGGAAGGTAGGGCGTTGTTTAAACCGTCAGCTGACAATCCGATGACGGTCTCTTTACAAGACGGTTCCCAGAGCTTAGCATAGTTAATGGATCAATCACCTTAGGCCAATACTTAAGATTGAATAGAATTAAAAAACAAAAGTTTCAATTTATTTAAATCGTAGCTAAAATGAAACTACTCTAATCGATTGAACCGTCTTTTATAGAAGTAAAATAAAAGCTCTTCGTTTCGCATAAAAGCCGTTTGAAGACCGTTTTCGGGCGTTTCAAACCCATCTTAAGACCGTCCTATAGCCGTCTTAAGGTCGTCCTCGAACTTTCAACCGTCTCGGAGAAGTAAGCAAATAATAAAATATGATTTTCAGCTCCCCCTCCTTTCTAATACCACGGTATAGTACCACGGTACAGGCCTAAGTATTACCCCTCAAGGGTAGGGCAACCAGGGGTCTAAAGTGGAAACTAAACTTTTGAAGCACCCTCGAGGGGTAATATTTAGGCCTGTACCGTGGGTACTTACCCTTTGCCACCCCCTTGTAGACGAGGCCTGGTGCATCGATCTCGTCGGGTAAACTTTTATTGAATCGATCGATTCCGACTACTTAGATGAATTTCTAAGCGTTAATATACAAGCCGTAGCAGCGATATCAAGAAACATCTTAGCATAGCTATTATTGAATTATCAGTAAAACGATTTCATTTGGATAACAGTTTTTATTTACAACTCTATTTTTTAAAAAAATAGTTATCGAACTATTACAAATTTTCAAAACGAGCTTATTAATAAACCTATTTTAAAAATCTGAACGGGGACTGCTATAAGACGGCTACCTATAGGACGGTCTTTTTCAATACCCGTAGTACGTAGTATTCAGGAGAGAGATGGAACGCTAGCCGTTTAGCGTACTTGGCAAACAAGGGGGATCAATAGTTACGCCGCTCCGGGTACAACGACATGCGTTCCCCTCATTAAATTGCTTTCTTCGCGACTATACTTTTGCTATAAATACTACTTATTTTCAATCAATTATAAAGCAAGAAAATATTACTAGAGAATGCAGCATTGTCCGTAAGTATCGTATAATGAGGCAAGCTCAAACAGGAAACTACGATTAACTTTTTTTAAATGTTTCTTGCGATCGCAACGGCGATTCCGGACTCTTCGACCTATACCCTTCGCTTATATACTCTTTTTAGCGTCATTCCATCGTTTGCGAGTAGCAAGGCGGTCTCGCTTCGGGCAGCCGGGCAATAGGATTTACTTAAGCGATCTTGTGAAAATAAAGAAATACGTAGTAGTATTACGTCGACCTTACGCTCCTTAAGTCTAAATACTTTCGAGCATATAATAGGAGGACGAAGTGTATAAGCTGCAAGAGGATTGTTGTAGGCGTCTTCTTCAGCTTGATAATTGGCTAATGTCCTAGGCTTTTTCCCAGGCCGTGGTCGAGGAGCGCGCTCTTTGTATAGAGAAGCATTTGGAGTATTTCATGAATGAGATTCTTGCAGAGGTGGTAATTCAGGGCCGAATTTTCGTTCGCAACTATAATTTCAAGGAGTTACTACTATTATGACGTTAAAGGATGCAAATAGCAAGTTCGGAGTATTCAGAGCAAATAGGTATCACGCTAAAGGACACTTAGGATATTGATATGCGGCCGCTTTTCGGAGCGGCGTAACTATTGATCCCCCTGTTTGCCAAGTACGCTAAACGGCTAGCGTTCCATCTCTCTCCTGAATTACTACGTCGCAGGCGTAAGTATTACCCCTCGAGGGTAGGGAAAACGTAGTACTTCGTACTACGGTAGGACGGCTATAAGACGGTCTTTTTCAATAGGACGATTTATTAGCTAAGCCGTTCTTGAATAAAGCTTAATACTGAATTTAAGCGTTTTAATAACCGTCTTTAATAAAAGAGGGTCAGAGGACCGCTGAAATGACACCCTACCTGCCTTTAAGGTACCTAGTCTTTGATCTCGCAAAGCTTTCATAGTCCGTGCGCCCACGGTGAACGTGCGAGCGCTCGCTCATATTAAGTCCTCCGTACTTACAGTAAAAGCGGTGCGCCCTACGATACGTATCGTTCCCCACGCTCGATCACTACCTTCCGTATCCGTCGCATTTATCCCTCCTTAGCGGTGTCGATGGGCGCGGCCAAACGGTTTTGATTTTAATCCGACTCCGTAGGCAGTATCTGGCTAACAGCCAAACGCTTTTTATTTGAATCCGGATCCGTAAGCAGTAACTGACTGACTAACAGCCAGTGACCTCGAAACCGCTGCTCAAATTCCACCTCTCCCCCTCATCTTCCGCTTTTGTTTGTACGGATATGCCACTTTCGTCGAGCCCTGTCCCGCAGTAGGAATAACCAGATCAGAGCCTACGAGTGGTTGCATTAAGTATTAGAGGTGTTGGATCGCCGGTAGCGAACGTTCGCGACTTCGTATCACTAGCGTGCAGCGCACGTACTACGTAGCTTCTTGCAATTGCAAAACCATGAGTAAAAATGGTACTTGATTTCTGGGTCGATTATTTCCCATGCCTCGAAGAAAGTGGAGTTGTATTTCTCATGCCTCAACCCACTTTTTGAGTAGGCCCGCCTAGCCAAATCTACTCGCTGCTTTATACAAGAAAATTTTTTCGATATCAGCTTAGGAATCAATCTCAAAAGATACGCTGTCCGCGCAACTAACGGTCTTGTATAACGAACACGATCAAAGCATGTATGTTTTCCTTACCACACCGATACCGTAGCTTCTTCAGTTCGAACGTCTTAATTGCAACGAGCGCGCTACTTGCATGTATCGTTAAAGTAGCATACGTATCTTACATGAGTCTTTTCGCTATTCGGACATTTAGGCTCTTATCGCTCGTAGATAGCCTGATTAAGTACTGCGTCTTTAAAAGCTTTTAGATTATAAAATACATCGCTTTACTAAATTGAAACAAGTTTCTCTTAAGAATCTTTAAGAAATGGATCTATATCTATATCAGAATCGAGTGTACCGAAGCCGAGGTCGTTAAATGTAGCGTCCGAAAATTGTAATAAAGCATCTAAAGCAGCGTCGGTAGTAAGGATTTCCGCTATTATAGCTAAACAAAACGCGATAATAATACTAGAATTGCAATTGTATAGAATTTTAGTATAAGCGGCATTACTGAAAAAATTTTCTTGTATAGAGCAGCGAGTAGATTTAGCTAAGCGGGCCCACTCAAAAAAAGGGTTGAGGCATAGGAAATACAACTCCACTTTCTTCGAGGCATGGGAAATAATCGACCTGATTTCTGTGTGTCCCTAAGGTTCAGGGGAGCTGACTCCTTCTATACGATTAGAAGGAGTTACATGCACTAGCTATATACTACGTAACAGTGTTTATAACGAAGTTGGGGTTCCCTTGAGTGTAGATCACGCTAAGCGAGGTATGCTCATCCGTGCCTGAGATACCCGAACCTACCACATCACCCCCAACTACTACGTACTTCGGGTCGATATTGATGTACCGACAAGTGGATTCGAAATTGTTTCTTGGAAATCGGATTTATAAAGGCAATGATTGGTTTCCACTGTTTACTTGTACCTAGCGGGATTTTCTGGAGAGCATTGCTTAGCGAGCGAACGTGGACAAATACGACTACTACCTACCTCCCAGGCGTAATAATTACCACCTGAGGAGTTTTAAGCTTTTGAGCCTCCCTCAGGCGCTACTTGTTCGGGGGGGAAGGGGGGGAGTACGTTCAGTGATCACCGGTATCCTGGGTCCAGATGTTATCGTTATCATACTCCCCCTCCCATGAATACTGCTACTTAACATGTGGAAAGGTAGTAGTAGTATGTTTACTTTCGCACGGGCTCTTACTGTACCTGGGCCTAAACCACCACCGCTCTACTCTGTAAGTCATAGGGGGGAGTATGAGTGCGATCCATGGAGCTAATTATGCTTTCCACATGTACAGTATTCATGGGAGTAGATATAAGACTTCGCTTACGAATCATCATGCTGGGCCCGAAACTTTTGAACTGGTAATACCCTTGCGACATGACCCCCCTGTCTCTTCCCACCTTTCGATTGAATGGAAGCGTATAATTAAAACAAGATACTACTACTACGTATATCGGCGCAATTCACTCGATACATCGTTGCACCGTTACTAAGAGCGCTTCGAAACACACGTGGACGAAGCATTGGGCTATTGATTGTACGGAGGTGCGAAGGGTAAGGGGTCGTTTGGTCTAACTCCAGCTTGTAAAACTGGCGCAAAAAACTAGTTTTAAAAACTGGAGCTTCTGTTCTGTAGTACGGTTTGTACTGTAGAAATCGATGACTTGGTGTGACGTGTGGTGCAATTTCGCGTACTCAGTTTGTACTGCTGAAGGATTTAAACTCATATCTACTAGGTACTGTATCTCCTGCGCTATGCGTTATGTCCGACACTATTGATCTTGTCAGCGAATTGGCGTGATTGATTGACTTCAATTTAGCCGCCGATATTTGTCACGGCAGGAAAATGCAAATGGAGATACTACGTACGATATTACCGGATTTCGGTAATAATGTAGGCATTCTTACCAACATGGCTAGCTGATCGGAAACCTTCGATAGTTGGAATATGGAATAAGGTTTGAAGAGCGCGAGGGGGTCGTACCGGTATCTTAGCTCGTTCTCTCTTCCTAAAGAGTTCCTAAAGAAGGTTGAGAAACGGCGTGACTATTAGCTTTACGTATAGAGCGTATTCGCGGACATGTTTACACCAAATGCTACACCGAAGATTTACTCACCTTTTACGTAGTACAGTACATCCCGCGCAACGAAAGATACGTAGGAAAAGTGAATTATTACAAGGTTTCGGAGAACTACAAGACTACCATAGTTGGTGGCTTGGCTAGCGTACAAGCTCATGAACTGATGATTCTACAGTTTTGACGGATCTGTATAGGGTGGCGAAACGGTCTGTAGAAACCAGTGGGTGCAGTCGATTTTTGCATTGGACCAAACACCACCTTACGCTCAGTTTTTAAAAACCGAGTCAGTTTTTAACAATTGGAGTTGGACCAAACGACCGCTAAATACGTAGTAGTAGTACGTAGTATGTCACTAGGGAACGCAATCCACTTAAATTGAGTTTTTCCTTCAAAATTGGCAATCGACGTTTCTCCAGTTCTCCAGTTATCCGGCTCATCCGATTATCCGATCTAGCCAGGGATTCCTTAGCATAGGCATGCCAGCCCTGAGTACGGACGTCCCCGGCGTGCGGAGTAGTAGTATTTGCTCTAAGCTTCTTAGGACCGTGTCGTCCAACTCAAAGAAAGGGGTATGTATAACTATATATCTCAAGCGCCCCTGGAGAAGGACCAGCATCGGGACAGCAGTTTGCCGACTCGGATGTCAGGACCACCACGCTCTTTTGCAAGATGAATCTTTATATGTCGTTGCTGTGGGCTTCATGCCTTACTTCCACTGTCTTTTCGAGAAAGTCACCCTTTAATCACGGGGTTATTATTGAATACGAGGATTGGGCGCCCGAGGTACGTTCGTGCTCGTGGTCCTCCACCTTCTTGGACCAGGTGAAGTTAACCTCACGGTAAAGGACAACAATGCTCTCCTCGAAGATGTCAAAAACAATATCGGCAGCAAGGCTCAGGTTGATGAAGTCGAAATCAAGCCCCATGTGGAGATCTCCTCATCGGTTTTCCGAGGAGTCTCTGCCAACGTCACGGGCTTGGGAAGTGACGTGACTGAAGAGCTGGTTCAAAGCACTATCCAAAATCTTAGAGTTGTGAAGAAAGTCTCACCGATAATTCTCTATTACCCGGCGTCAACTATTGCCAGCTCCGGTCCACTTCAAGCCCGCGGCGAAATGCTCAGCATGGAGCCAAGGGCGGCTGCTATGCAGGAAGAGACTGGCTCGTTCTCGGTACATAAGATGTAAGTCGGCTAATATTGCCTACTGGCTTTGGGAGGACTCGCTTCGAATCCTTCGAACCTGAGCAATCTAGAATTTCTTCATGAGCCCATGTTGCAAGTACATTACGCTAATCCCGAGCTTCTAAATCTAGGACGGGCGTCGATAAAGTCCACGCCGAAGGCGTCAAAGGCAAAGGAATCACAATTGCAATCATGGATAGTGGGTTTGACTACAAGCAGGATTCACTTGGTAACACTATCGGCCCGGGAAGCAAAGCCATCTATGGGTATGACTGGGTAGGTGATGATTATCAGTTTGGAGGTACTCCTGTTGAGGATGACGATCCTTGGACCGAATGCACTATTCATGGCACACAGTATGTAGTTGAGATCAAACGTCTCACCTTTTTCCCGACGATTTTGAGGTCGATAAATCACTAACTCTTCTCGTACTACTAGTGTCTTTGGGATCGCAGGTGCAAATCCTACGAGATTTGGGGTGTCGGGCTCGGCCCCCGAAGCCTCGTTCGAACTTCACAGAGTGTTTGGATGTCTTGGAGCAGTGGCAAGCGACATATTGATTAAAGCCACCACCGCCATATACGTAAGTCTTTCATTACAAGCGAGCATTCCCGCGTGCACTGTCGGCTTTCCTGTATAATTTTCCCACGTAGCGTCAAGCATTATTTATATTCGTCACAACTTTAATCTAATGAGCAATGCTAGGAGAGAGGAGTCGATGTCATAACAGCTTCTATTTCTGTTGGCTCCGGCAGCCAATATCCTTCCGGTATGTATCCCTCTCTCAACAATGGCAATTGCAAGTCCTGACTGACTTTATAGATCCGTGGTCAACTGTCGTACAACGCATCAATCAGAATGGAACCTACTTCATGGGTTCTGCCGGAAACTCAGGATCCAGCTACTACTCTGGCGTCGCTCCTGCTTCAGGAATCGACGTCACAGCAGTTGGTGCTGTCGTCAACACTGAGACCCCCTACTATTACTGGAACGGCTCCTACACATCTGGTGGTGTGACGAATACAAACCTGACATGGATTCCTGGAAGCCGAGTTGCGTTCCCAGAGGAGTTCAGTCTCTGGACCGCGTCCTCTGAACTGACAGATCCTTTGAATTCCGCCTGTGCCTACCCTCCTGATCTTGAGTTGCCAAATTTCAATACAACCGTATTACTCGTCAACTGGGGCTACGATGCATCCCTAATCTGCTCTGGCTCGGACGCAACCAAATACCTGGCATCTCTCGGGGCTAAATACATTCTTTTCTGTAAGTTGCGGATCGTGAATCCCCGCCCGATTAGTAGGGCGACCTGATTATTCAAATCCTATGGGAGCAAATGCTGATCACTAACCCGTTCTAGACATTGCCGGGGAGGGAACCCCTAGCAGGAATCCTTTGACTTTGGAAGTTGCAAGTCCGCGAACTGCCAGCATAGAGGCAGTTGGGGTTTTGTCGGCAACGTCGGGAGAGGAACTGTTCTCAGCTCTACAAAAAGATCCGAGCCTCAAAGCATCCTTGGGAAGCCCTTCCAACCACAAAGACTCTCTTGAAGTTACCCCAAATGGAGTTAGTGGTGGCCGGATGGCAGATTGGTCAAGCTGGGGTCCGACTAATGACGGACGTACATTCCCTACTTTCTCAGCACCAGGTGCTTCATTTCTCTCTACTTTGCCCAAGAGGCTTGGAGGGTTTGGTGTACTTTCAGGAAGTGAGTACCTTTCGAGTGCATTCTCCCCATTCGACGCTCTGTCGGGATGTTATGGAGCTGCGCACTCGTGAGCCTTATGTTGGAAGACAACAACGCTAACACCGTTATTCTCTACAGCCAGTATGTCGACTCCGTATGCAGCAGGTGTCGTAGGGCTTGTGAAGCAAGCGCACCCCGACTGGGACGCCTTGACGATCCGAAATGTTCTCGCCACTACTAGTAGACCAATGCAGTACAACGACAACACATCCACAGTATACGACTTCCTTGCTCCTGTGTTCCAACAGGGAGGAGGTTTAATTGATGCTTATCGAGCTGTGCGGACAGCTACCGTTGTCGACGTGCCAGGTCTTTCTTTTAACGACACAGCTCATCAGCCCAAGTCTCTCTCTTTCAAGGTCAAGAACATTGGAACTACAGCCCAAACTTACAAGTAAGTCGGATATACCCTGATCGTGAACCTTGGGTGCGGCAGCGATCAGATCATTCTATATACATGAGACTGACAGGAACACATTCAGGCTCTCTCACATCGGTGCTGCTTCCGGACTCGGATTATCATCACGCGATAGCTATACTCTTTTGGACGACAGTGGACGCGAAGTATCTCGCAGCCTTCAGGCTACATACGCCGAAGTCGAGATAACTCCGTTAGAAGTGACTATTCCCCCCGGGCAGGAATCAACCATCACCGTCTCTATCACCAAAGTGCCAGATCTTGACATCACGAGGCTCCCATTCTACGGTGGATACATTGCTTTGAACTCCACCGACAGCATTAACTCTGTCACCGTCCCTTACACCGGCATCGCAACTTCGCTCTATGACACTCCGATCGACACGAGTGGCACTACACTGGCATTCTACAATGCCACCTCCGACAACGCCACAGCTCTCACAGCATCCACAACATTCAATGTCACGTTCCTAGGTGTCGGCGTTCAGTGGCCGAACAACACTATTTGGCCGGCTATTATCCCCGACGTCAAGTCCGCCCTCGTCTACTACGCGTACAAGTACGATCTCTTGAAAGCGAACGGAGATCTGTTCTTCCAGCTGTGGATGTTTGAGGACCTGAACGTCCAACCTGGATTCAACTTTTACCTGTAAGTGTATTCGCAGCCCCTCATTTCCTCCTCCTCTTCTTCTTCTTCTTTGCGATGTCCCAAGATGCCAGATCAGGGCATATCTCTTCCCTTCCCCCTGTCGCACCCTTCGTGATCTAGCAACTGCTGACCGCCCCCCGTGTCATGTATGCAGCGATGGGACCGATCCCTTCATCCCTCCAGGAGATTACCGTCTCAGTGTCAGTGTGCTGAAGATCTACGGCAACATGTCGAAGGAGGAAGACTGGGTCTCTACAAGCACCCTCCCCTTTACACTGAACTACAACCCCGAGAGCGTTAGTTTCCCGACCAACGCGACCAACGCGACCACCGCGACCAACGCGCCCATCGCGACATCCCTCTGAGGTCGAAAGGCTTCCAGGCAGAGCAGAGAATCTACGCGCAGAGAGCGCTAGACGACGTCGGTTGACGGAAATTCGGCTATCAGACGGCGGAACCCCCCTATCAATTCTTTCGTAGGCGTAACATCTGAAGGGGATTGATAAGGGCCCCCAAGTCTGTCGAGATTTCGCAATCCTGCGTGAGGATCATCTACATCGCCACGATCGATGTCCTAGGGACGAGGGCAACGGGGAATCCTCTCCGCGTTGGCTGTGGGAGGGAATGTGCGCAGATGGAAAAATTTTGCGCCAGCTCGACCCCCAAGGTGACTACTTACTTGAATGTCCGATGGCTCATCTTTCGGCGCATATATATCTCTCTCTCCTCTTCTCTCTCTCTCCTGAGATGAAAAAAAAGTAAAATGAAAAAATTTAAAAAAAATTGGAAATTAGCCCACCGCTAAGTCTCCGAACCATACCTGACCATCCCGTAGCCTTTCCCCCACATGGTCGTCGTGACTCAAGAAATCCTAGACAGCAACCAGACGTAATCTTTCCGAGTGCCTCGCCCCAGGACGCGTCAACCGCACCCAGAAATCCCTGGGTCATCCTGAAGCATCGCCGCCGCCATTTCGTTCATCTTATCCCTCCGGGCCCGTTCCGACTCCGTCAACTCGCTCGCAAACTCCTTTTTTTTTTTACTTCTTCCCGTGACCTCCAGGGCTCGGCAGCACCTTCGCTTTCGTCCTTGTCCCTGAATAGTGCCGTGTGCGTCTCCGTCAGCTCGCTGGCTCGAAGGCTCATCGCCACAGCCCGTGATCGCATCGCATCGTCGAAGTAAGCTCCTTCGTCGCCGAGCTCCCAAATAAGGACGTCGTGATGACCTGTGGACACCGCGATCCCGCCCATCCTGTGAGTCCTCCTTGTGGACTAGACCAAGTGCTGCTTCAGCGACCACCCCGCGGGCCCGTGATCCGACCTTGCCGTTGCAGATGATCACCGCCTCGCCCGAGCCGACCGGGTCTCGCGCAGAGGGCAAGCGCGCCAGGTCTCTGTACGCCTGCTGTTGCTTCTCCTTCCAAAGCTTGCTCACAGCTGCGTGTCTGCTTCCCACCGTCCGGTACCACGTTCTGCTGTCGGCGGCGTCTTGGAAGTCTAGGTGGACCATCTCCTCGGCCAGACGGGGGAGAGCCGGGCCACGGGTTTCGCGGCAAGATGTCGTCGTAGTCCCGTCGCAAGGTGACGCCGTACAGTAGCTGGGGTAGCTCACACGCAGGTCCATGGCCTTCGTCTTCGCCGGGCCTTCTGCGGCAGGAAAACACAGGTGTATCAAGCCAGATCAGAGGGGGCTCGCTAGCTGCCAAGCTAAAACTACAATATAGTCAGCACCGCATCCTCACGAGTTCGAGAGAAGGAGAGCCGAAGCATGTTTTGTACGTACAGGAGAATCGAATGAATCCCTTTGCGTTCATCATCACTGCTGGGCGTTTTTCCGGGAACCTAGGCGATCTCGCTTGAGATAGGGGTACCTAGCTAGCTAGCTAGCCGAGCCGTAAATTCTCGTCAAGATAAAGCAGAGAGCATATCCATCCATACTTATTAGCATCAGATAGGGTATTCTCGTCCTTCGCGGTTTTCATCATTTAATCTTGAGACCTAAATATTTATAACAGAAAAGGCTTTTTTTTAAGGGGGGGGGGGCTGCTACTGCTCTCACGTAACCCTGACCTCCCCTGAACTCTGGCCCGTACTTCATGAAACCAAAGGCACGGGGTCACGGGGACTGATTTTTATACGAAGAGATGAGGAGGGTGTGGAGTGAGTGTGTACCTATAGAAACAGCGACGAGCAGGTGAGGATGAGTAGATGTATCTCGAAAGGGAGAACGACAACCTGGAGACTATTTAGTCATTGATTCCCTTAGGAACACCCCAGCGAGCTTTCCAGACGTCCACATCTACCATCCGGAGACATTCCATCTTAAATCCATCTCTTGAATTCATAAATGTATAGGGCGCCGTCGGAGGAATTGTCAGGACCGCAAGTCTCTTCAATCTCCGTTTCGGCCCTCATCTCTCTCTCTCTCTCTCTCTCTCTCTCTCTCTCTCT